TCATAAATAGATTTTTTTTTTTTTTTTTTAAATCAGATGCCTGGAATGATGTGTTTAGACAGTCATCCAACTAAAACAACAATTTCAGGGTTTTGCTCTGTCATGTTTCTGGGTTTATGACATTATATGACATAGAAAGGATGGAACTGGAGGAGGGTTGTCTGAAATGCTTAGTTGTATTCTTCCCTCAGCAAGAAAGAGGAGCAAAAATATGAGAAATATTACAGATTAAATTAGACATTGGAAGGAGGAAACGTTGCACTTAAAGAATTAAAGACAGAGTAGGCCTTTCCTAAAAGAGTTTGTTAATATTTTCACTCAACAGTCATAGAAACACACTCATCCCTTCAGTGCTTCTACAAAAAAACTCCACCCCAAATTCATGGGCGGGAATTGCCATGGCAACGATGCTAACAACTGCCTCGGAGCGATGGCAAATACTAACAGATGTCTCTTTCTCCTAGCTGAAGCAAAACTACACAAAACATTTAACATGAAATGCCATCAAAAGAACAACATGACAGCACACAAACAGCATCCAAAACACAAAGTTAATTGTTGAGATTGTTTTTTACCAAGACCCATATCTGGCTCCAGCAGCATCCTCTCCCCAGTGGACCGGGACACCTGCTGCTGAAGTTGGTCCGTGGAGGAGCCCATTGGAGGATGCGTGTCTTGGCCCATGAGCGAGGAAGCAGAGCCTGGTGGTGCTCAAACAGACTCCCACATCTGCTCTATAGGCTGCTGTTGTACAAAGGCCATCCACTGGAAAAAAAAAAAGAAAAAAGAAAAAAAGATGGGATTTGAAAATCTGACCCCATCTTGAGGAAAATGTATCTGGATTCATAGGGCTCACTGGTGCTCCAAGGTGCTGCTTTGTTTTTCTCCCATTTAGAAATGCGGTGTAAGAACACGGGGCTTTTTTGGTTTTTGTTGTTTTTTTTGCTGTGACAGCCACATGGACCATGACAAGGTATTCAATGAATGTGACAGAAATTGCATTGGATTAGAATAGCTTACTCCGCCTTTACGACTAGGATGATCTGCCAACCCTGCTTCCCTTCCTTCATGCACTATGCCTAACTTTCTATATTTAATCCTATTCAGGACTTTACATAAATAGAAAGTCTTTCGGGGTCCATTGGACCCCAAGAAAGAATATCCATCCATTATCTACACACCATTTAATCCTCACTAGGGTCGCGGGGGGCTGGAGTCTATCCCAGCTGACTCAGGGTGAAGGCAGGGGACACCCTGGACAGGTCACCAGTCTATCACAGGGC